CGGCATCTTGGTGGCATCACTAGACTTGAATTAGTGTGACTAATTAATGGCTCTGTCTCGTTCAATAAATAAAACTCTTTTTTCCCCTAGCCAGGCCGAATTCCCTTGGGAAAAAGGAGGATGGGCACAGCCCACAGAGGAGAGGGAAGCCTGAGCTCCCAGAGTCATAAAGAAATAAGTAAAGCCATGGCACCATCTGGTGTTTTTCCAGGTTCCAGCACTTGTCCCTCCAGCCCACGGCAGACGGATTTTCCAAATGCCGCTTTGGCTGCGTTTAGGGTGGAAATGCAGCCAGAGGAATCACCTCCAGAGGAATCACCTCCCTGACTCCGTCCCACCGCCGGCCGGGGGCTTGGCTGCGGAATTGCGGGACACCCCGAGGCTCCGGGACACCCCGAGATTCCGGGACACCCCGAGGAGGCTCCGGGACACCCAGAGATTCCGGGACACCCCGAGGAGGCTCCGGGACACACGGAGCAGCGTCCCTGGCACAGACAGCTCGCAGTGAGCACCGCCACAGCACGGTCGCAGCAGCACCGTCCCCTCTCATCTCCCGTTTCCTGACCGGGCATTCCCTGCCCTGTGCAAACCGGGAGCGCTCCCTGCGCCCCGCACTCGCTGCGGGAATTCTCCCCCGCTGCTGTGCAGGAGATGCTGGGACATTTCCAGAGGGGCAGAGGGGCCCGGAGCACAGCCCGTGCTGCCGGCTCCTGCTCAGGAAGCACTGCCCGTGCTCTTGGTGCTGCCGGTGGCCCCGGTGCCCACGGAGGGCTCTGTGCACACGGACGGTCACGCAGTGGGGCAGGGGACACTGTCACTGTCACAGCCGCTGTGGCTGCCGCAGGGGAGCTGCGGGACACGGCAGGAGCTGAGAGCCTCCCCTGCAGCAGGGCACGGTCCTTGCGAGCCTAAGCTGAACTCCCAGCCCCTAAAAACAGCGATCCATGGAATAGCTTGGGTGGGAAGGGACCCCAGAGCCCCTCCAGTGTCACCCCTGCCATGGCAGGGACACCTCCCACTGTCCCAGTGTCCAGCCTGGCCTTGGGCACTGCCAGGGATCCAGGGGCAGCCCCAGCTGCTCTGGGCCCCCTGGGCTAGGGCCTGCCCACCCTGCCAGGGAACAATTCCTGCCCCAAAATCCCATCCAGCCCTGCCCTCTGGCACTGGCAGCCATTCCCTGGCTCCTGGCCCTCCAGGCCTTGTCCCCAGTCCCTCTCCAGCTCTCCTGGAGCCCCTTTGGGCCCTGCAAGGGGCTCTGAGCTCTCCCTGGATCCTTCTCTTCTCCAGCCTGAGCATTCCCAGCTCTCCAAGCCTGGCTCCAGAGCAGAGGAACCGCAGCCCTGGCAGCTGAGGGGATGGAGCTGAGCAATGGCTGTGGCTGGTGCTGAGGGGACAGCAGTGGCCCACAGCTGTCAGGGGACTGTTCTGAAGAATGGCTGTTGTTCACAGCTGGGAGGGGAATGGTTGTGGCTGACACGGTGCTGAGGGATGGCTGTGAGGGGACAGCCATGGCTGACCCGGGATGGCTGTGAGGGGACAGCCATGGCTGACCCGGGATGGCTGTGAGGGGACAGCCATGGCTGACCCGGGATGGCTGTGAGGGGACAGCCATGGCTGACCCGGGATGGCTGTGAGGGGACAGCCATGGCTGACCGGGGATGGCTGTGAGGGGACAGCCATAGCAGACACGGGATGGCTGTGAGGGGACAGCCATGGCTGACCCGGGGTAGTTCTGAGGGGACAGCCATGGCTAACACGCTGCTTAGAGATGGCTGTGAGGGGACAGCCATAGCACACAGAGCCCCCAGCGATGCCGCTCCGCTCTCTCCGCCCGCCCCGCTCCCCTCAGGCAGCCCCAGCCCCTCAGGGCGGGCCGGGGCCGGGGCCGGTGCCGCCCCCTGGCGGCTCGCGCTGCGCCTGCGCAGTCCCGCCGCGCCCCGGGGTGAGCGCCGCGCGGCGCGCGCGCGCTGGGGCGGAGGCGGGAGCGCGCCAGGCGGTGCCGCCCGCCGATTGGCTGAGGGTCGCGAGCGGGCGGGGCCGGGCGGGCGCGGATTGGCGGGGGGGCGCGCCCCCCCGGCGGAGGCGGGCCCTGATTGGCCGGGGCCCCGCGCGGCGGCGGCCGGGACCGTTGGAGCGCGGCGGCGGCGGCGGCTGAGGCGGCCCGGCCGCCCCTGGAGCCCCGGGAGCCCCGGCACCGGCGCAGGTACAGGGGGAGCGCCCAGCGGGGCCGGGACCACCGGGCTGCGGCTGAGACTGCTGCTTCGGCCGTGCCCCGGTGTTCCTCCCGGCCGCAGAACAGCTGCTGGCAGGGAGCCGGATTGTGCGGGCTCCATTGCTTTGGAGTTAACGGGAGAGCCGGAATGTGCGGGCTCCCTTGCTTTGGAATTACCGGGAGCAGAAGCAGCAGCGTGTTGTGGAATAAGGCAGTGTAATTTTTCAGTGGAAAACCGGCTGTTTTCCTGGAGAAAAAGCTCACTTGGTGTTTTTCGCATCTCTTTAGGTTGTCGTTTAAATGTCTGAAGAAGGAAGGGAGCTCAGGAAAGTGGAAGTTGCCCTGAGAGACTTCTCAGTGTGATTCAGGTAACGGGATCTGTTGGCATTTACTGTGGTGTTGACCTTAAAATCTTGGTTTTGTATGTTCTGTTGCCTGTTTTTTACACTCACAAACCAATACTGACATTTTTCATTTATGACGAACTTGTGTCGTGTAGCAGTAATTTCTGCATTTTTTGTTACATGTTGGACATGTAAAAATACGGAATCATGTAAAAAGCTGGAATCCACTGTTTAAAATTCCTCCAGAATTATGTTTGTTGTGCAACACATCCCTCGTCTGGGGAAGGTGAATCATAGAATTATGGAATGCTTTGGGTGGGAAAGAACTTTAAACATTTAATTCCACCCCCCTGCTATGGGCAGGGACACCTTCCACTATCCCAGGGTGTTCCAAGCCCTGTCCAGCCTGGCCTTGGGCACTGCCAGGGATCCAGGGTTGGCATTGGATGAGCTTTAAGGTCCCTTCCCACTCAAAGCTTTATTCATTCTCTGCTCTGTTTGCTGCAGCTGCCCAGTGACAGACCATTCCAGGTGCCTGATCCAGTGGTTCAAAAGGTCACAAGTTTCAGTTCCAGTTTCCTTTGACCCTTAAATGCTTCTGTGTGTGTGAGGGATGCAGCTCCAGAGGTGTCAGCCTTAACCCTTTTCCTTGACCATGTTATCCTGTTAAATCCTCTTTGTGTTTCTGCTTGTTGCCATCATCACACACAGGATTCTTGTTCTGGGGGGCTTTGGGACATCCCAGATCTGCTGCTGGGGTCCCAGTCAGTCCCAAGGGAGCAGCTCCCTGCTCCCAGGCTGGGCTGCCAGAGTTGGTTCCTGCCAGTTCCAGAATCCTGTATTTAAGGGGACACATCCAGGACCTCCCGTGAGCTCCGTGGGACACCCTCATTGTTCACTGCAGTTCCTGTGGTGGTGAATGCAGCAGCCCTGCCAGCATTGTCCCAAACTCCCTGGGTTTGGAGCAGGCTGGGGGTTTTTGGAGCAGTAAATGGCTTTACTTGTTGGCTGTGTTGCAGCTGATGCAGTCAGGCCTGTGGTTCATTCCAGGACCCAACAGCAGTACATGTTTTAGGGAGTGCTGGCTGGTGGAGGGGGCTTAGGAAGGACCATAATGCAAGAAAAAGGACTTTTGCAGCAACACAAAAACATCACTTTTCCAGCAGTTCAATTGCATCACACACAGCACAGGTGAGGTGGGAATGAGGACTTCCAGTCCTGTGCAGTTCAGGGTGAGGGTTGCAGCTGTGCAGTTCAGGGTGAGGGTTGCAGCTGTGCAGTTCAGGGTTGGTGTCAGCAGCTGTGCAGTTCAGGGTGGGTGTTGCAGCTGTGCAGTTCAGGGTTGGTGTCAGCAGCTGTGCAGCCCTGGGTGGGTGTTGCAGCTGTGCAGTTCAGGGTTGGTGTCTGCAGCTGTGCAGCCCAGGGTGGGTGTCAGCAGCTGTGCAGCCCTGGGTGGGTGTTGCAGCTGTGCAGCCCTGGGTGGGTGTTGCAGCTGTGCAGTTCAGGGTGCAGCTGTGCAGCCCAGGGTGGGTGTCAGCAGCTGTGCAGCCCTGGGTGGGTGTTGCAGCTGTGCAGCCCTGGGTGGGTGTTGCAGCTGTGCAGTTCAGGGTGCAGCTGTGCAGCCCAGGGTGGGTGTCAGCAGCTGTGCAGCCCTGGGTGGGTGTTGCAGCTGTGCAGTTCAGGGTGCAGCTGTGCAGCCCAGGGTGGGTGTCAGCAGCTGTGCAGCCCTGGGTGGGTGTTGCAGCTGTGCAGTTCAGGGTGCAGCTGTGCAGCCCAGGGTGGGTGTCAGCAGCTGTGCAGCCCTGGGTGGGTGTTGCAGCTGTGCAGTTCAGGGTGCAGCTGTGCAGCCCAGGGTGGGTGTCAGCAGCTGTGCAGCCCTGGGTGGGTGTTGCAGCTGTGCAGTTCAGGGTGCAGCTGTGCAGCCCTGGGTGGGTGTTGCAGCTGTGAGTTGTGGAAGCTGTGACATTTTTGAAGAGGGAAGGAACACGCTGCTGGAAGTTGAGGCCTTGGGGCTGGGTTGGTGCCTGAGCTGCTGTGAGCTCCACGCTCAGCCTGGCTGCGTGGGCTGCTCTGGGGGAGCTTTAGAGAGCCTAAAGAAGGAATCAGATAAGGTGATTCAGGTGATAGGGATTTGAATTCATAATATTTTTATTAGGTTAATTGTTTTCCCCTTGGTACCAGGGAGAAGAAACTGTGATTTTGTTGTCTCTAGTTTAAACAGATTTCTGTTGATAAACTGTACCTATATTTAAATTGTTTCACAGGCCTTTCCCAGTCCTCTGGGCTTTAAGGACTGAAGTATTTTAACTTCTCAGCTGTGCTTAAGTAATACAGATTTATTTAAAAACTGATGTAATGGAGAGTTTTAGGCAGCCTAGATCCAGAAGAAACAGTAGGAGACCTAAAAATTCCACAGCAGATAACACATTATATTTGGCCAGGTGTTCCCGTGGAACAAATGGAATTATTACAGCAGGTGCCAATTCATCACTAAGTTTTAAGAGTTGGATGTCTAAAGGATGTGTTGTGGTTACAAAACACTTGAAATCTTAGTAACTGGTTACTGACTGACTGCAAGGTGAGGTATTTTTCAGTCTTTTTCAGTGCAACTTTTACCTTTATTTATCTTGGGTGACCAAGAGCCTCAGTGGCTCTGTGCTTGAAGAGCTGGGGAGCAAAGGGGTGTTCTGGCATAAAGCAAACAGGGAAGGAGCTGAGGCCCTCACTTTTTTTAAATTTATTTTTTAAAAGAGAAAGTGAGAAAACTAAAGGGTAAAAACTCTTAGTTTTATAGAAGGCAATGGCAAGTGTCATCAGCTGGGCTTTGAGTTCAGGCTCACGATGCTGTTGTAGAAAGAAACCCCTTTGTTTGTGGCCACAGTTGGAGTAGTGAGGAGTAGCTTGGGTGCAGCCAGGCTTTTGAAGAAGGTGCTGTGTGTGTCTGGCAGCTCAAAGTTAAAATTACCAGGCCTGTGTAGGTGTTCAGTTCCCATTGCCTGGGGCAGTGGCAGAGAGACTTTTAAATGCAGATTAATGGCAATTCCTGCTTCTGTACTCCTGTTCCCTTTCAGTAATATCTAACACTTAACAAACTTAGAATTATTTTAGTTTAGACCTGTGAAACTGGTGAGGAAGATTTCACATTGTAAGTTAATGTAGGAGGTGAAGTTAATGAATTAAAACTGAGCAAGCTGTTTTGTCCTGAAGTCAGTTGTGCTGGGGAAAGCAGCTCCTGTTTCCAGGTGTTTCTCACTGCCCCTGCTGGAATTTTCCTCCTCCCCAGGTGTGCCAGGAGGGCTGTGAGAGCTCTGAGCTCTGCTGGGGCCGCTCCTGGCAGTGCTGCCAGGTGTGTGGTACCTGCTCCTGCTCCATCTCCCAGGCTGGTTAATGGGGAAAAGGGCAAGAACGCAGCTCAGAGCTCTTCCTAATAATGGGTATTGCATTCAGCTGCAGAGGCAGTTCCAGAGCTCTCTCCTGTGCTCTGTAGGCAGTGCTGGGGCCTGCAGGGTGAGATGGAGAGGGAAGGCTTTGCCAGCTTCTCTTGGAAGCACTGAGAGCTCAGAAATCCCCTCCACAAAAAAGAATCTTCCCTACCTGAGATGGGGGTAAGCTCTTAATTAGACCATTTCCAGCTTCTTGCTGCTCAAAAATCCTCCTGTAAAATATTTAATTCCTCTTATCCAACAGGAGCACTGCTTTATTTCAAGGAAACCATTTCAGCTGCTGGATTTGCTCTTGTTTGCAGGCCCATGGTAAATTCCACAGACATTAACTTCAGCCTGCAGAGCAGCAGGCAGGTTGTAAAAACCCATTTTTACTCCTCAGGCTTTGGAGCAGTAAAGGAAGATGAGAGTTTGGATACTCCAGAAGAGTGTTTGAGTGCTGTGGGCACTGAGTGTCCTGCCTGCTCTGCACCCTGGCTGTGTTTGCTGGAGAACAGATCTGACCGTGCCACAATCCGTGCTGAGACACTCAGTGCTGTCCCCAAGAGCCTGCAGAGCTCCTGGCCCAGCCTGAGTGATTCCCTGGGGACTGAAAATGGATCTATGGAGCTGTGAGCTTAAAACAACACCTTGGCATCGGGGCTGGGACTTCCAGTGCCACTGTCACCCTCAGCGTTCTTAGCCTGACCTGCAGGCTCCTCAGGGCTGGGACTTCTCTCTGTTCTGGGCACTCAGCTGACTGAGTGAAATGTGAAGTCACAGAAACTCAGGTGCTCTGGAACTCTCCTGGGTTTGAATTTGTTCTGTTTTGTCTGGAGGGAACCTGTGTTAAAAGTTTTGGAAGGCTTTCAAAGAAACCTGTGATTAAGTATTGTTACTTGTTCCATCTTGGTTTAACTTGAATCCAGTACAATTTTCATCAGTTTCTGACCAGGTGGGCAGGTGAGGTTGTTGGGCTCACCCTGGGCCTTAGACCAGGGGCTTTTTCTGGAATTACAGAGTGATTTATTTCCATTGTAAAAATCCTCTTAAGTGCAACCTGTGCCCAAGGAGCTCTGAGCCCCAAGCTCAGCCAGCTAAAGAGTAACAGCAGAGGAGAGCTCTGTCCCGCTGTCTGTCCGTGCTGCAGTCCAGGAGCAGGATGTGTGGGAGTGAGGGCTCCTTCTGAACACAAACTGCAGCTGCTTGATCCCCACCTCACTCTCAGAGCCAGGCTTAAAGGTGCAGAACTTAATATGTAACATAAACCAGGTGATTGGGGATACCAGCATCACAAAGTCACCCCAGGACACACATCCAAGAATTCCCTGCACCCCTCCAGGGATGAGACTCCAGCAGCTCCCTGGGCAGCCCCTGCCAAGGCCTGAGCTCCCTTTCCAGGCAGAAATTCCTGCTGCTGTCCAAGCTGAGCCTGCCCTGGCCCAGCCTGAGGCCATTTCCCCTTGTCCTGTCCCTGTTCCCTGGGAGCAGAGCCCGAGCCCTCCTGGCTGTCCCCTCCTGGCAGGGACTTGTGCAGAGCCACAAGGTCCCCCCGGAGCCTCCTTTTCTCCAGGCTGAGCCCCTTTCCCAGCTCCCTCAGCC